ATTTTTAGGGTGATGAAACTTCTCAGAAGCACAATCTGGCCAATCATTAGGAAATGTTATGAACACAGAACCACCTCTTCCCAGAGTTTGCTGTCTTCCCAAACTGAGCAACTCGGGAAGAAGGATCTTGACCAGAGAAGTGACAAGTGATAAGAACCCAATTAACCCTGAAGTACAGAGCTACATAGGAGATGAGAGAACCTGTCTAAAGGACAATAATCTCTGCAGTACTACACATTTAGCTTCTATGGAAAAATGGCAAGGCACTCCTGAGAACAGGCCACATAGTAGCACACCTGGAACTTGCAATGCAAGAATGCATGTGGCAGACCATGAGACCATGTGCCAAAAGATACTCTGGTCTGATGACACAAAAATGTAATTCTTTGTTCATTGCCCGTGTAACAATCCCTATCATGAAGCATGGTGACACAGTGTCATTTTATGCGGATGCTTTTCAACAGCAGAATTAGGGGCAATTGGCAGGATAAAGAGAACAATGATTGGAGACCTATGAAGGCAAATCTTTAAGGAAAACCTGTAAAGCGCCTCAGATGAGGGTGAAGATTCACATCCAAACAGCACAACGACCCCAGAAATACAGCCAAAGTGACAACAGACTGGTTTTAGAATAAGAAGTTGAATGCTAATGTGCTCCTTTTAAATTGTATGAAACAAGGGGAAAAAACATTTCATGCATTAAAATTTCTGGTCATAACAGTATTTGCAATTGTTCGGGTGGGTGGAGGATAAAAATTAAATACTTTCTGAAGACACTATATATAGTCTAGCATTAAATTGACTCCTATAGTGACATTTTAAAATGATTAAATTAAATACCTCACTGGGAAACAAATATGCTAAAACGCAATATTGTCACAAGTTGAAGAACTTCTCATTTCAAGGCCTACTTGTTGAGGGGAAGTCGGACAGGTCTCAGGTGACAGATGGTGGCTTCCTCGATTACTTCCTGTGAGGGTGGACCCTCAAGTTTCTTAACACTTTCTCGCACGGCCCTTTGGGACTTCATGAGATCATCCATCTGCGAGCTCAACAGGAATTGCAGCCCTCTGCAATCGCTGAACCTGACAGAACATTCCATAGAAGCAGCATGAGAAATAAACACTCACCTCTTCAGACCTAGGGTAGACAGAATCTTTCAGGTTCTAGCCCCTCTCTCTGTGCAATAAAAAAACTGTTCAACAGGTACAGTATATGTTGCTTTTTGTTACTGTTTCTATTACAATCAACAGAAAGCATAGGGGTAGTCAGTTTAATTAAATTGTTTTTTGTTAACAACCCATTACAGTTATAAGTAATAGGTTTATTCCGTGCTGAAAAAAAGAAGAAAGAAAACACAATGTTTCGGCCGTGAAGCCTTCTTCACACCTGAAGAAGGCTCCATGGCCGAAACGTTGTGTTTCTTTCTCCTTTTTTTCAGCATGGAATAAACCTATTACTTGTTTCTTTGCAGCCTACGCATGCTGATGCAGCTACCCATTACCCATTACAGTGATACTTACTTATCAGCCATGGAGAGTTTGGCAGCCTGCTGTTTGTAATTGGAGGTCAGTTCATTCTGAATGCGGAGAACCAGGTCGTCATTGATTGCACACTGTATAGCTCTCTGAATCACATCCAGCCACCATGGTGATCCTGGAGGAATCTACAGCACAGGGGTAATCAGATATATTTTATGAGAATTAAAAGGCGACAACAAGCCTAACAGTGCAGCAGGGCTTTGATTCAAACATGTTTTGAATTACTTCAGTTATGTGCAGTAAATGAATTGTACCATCAATTAATTAATGGTAACTGTACCAGTAATTAATCTGTACCATTTTACAGTTATCATGGAAAGTTACTGAGAAAAGGTGTTTTATCCTAAAAATGTTGTTTACGGACAGAGCTGTGCTGCAGAAGCAGCTGGATACTTAGAACAAAGTGTGATAGCACCCAACTCGTCAAGGGCACAGGATGTTTTAATAATGTTTATCTCTGCTGCTTGAAGAAGGGAGTATGAGAAACTATTTAAATAACTGCACTTCTTTGCTTAAAGAAAAAACCTATAAGGAATGGAAAATTACTGCTTTGCCTGTCCTTGAAGTGTTGCATCAGCTTAAAAAAGATATAAAACAAGAGTTCTCCCTGCTTGCTTTTGAATCAGCTTTCACTTCTCTGCACAGACGTGTGATGGCTTTCTCCCATATTGCAATATGAATAGACCTTACTGAGTGAATGAGAATACCTCTCCTGGCTCTTCTTCGATAAAATTCCACGACATAGTACACAGTACAGATTATTTGTTGTCATGAAGACAGCTATAGATCTTGGTCAAATAGACGCGCCTAGAATTAGCTCATCACTTCCTGCCAGTGCTCCACCTCATTGCTCTCAGTGTGTGTAATCAGCTACTGTCTCAAAAGTCACATTTCCACCTGCATATAACACCACTAACAAATATTTACCTTGAACTCAAAAAAGGATACATCACATACACAGAAGCACAAAAAAGTGCTGACTTTAGAACTGTAATGTTGGACCAGTTTACAAAGAAGAAAGGTTCAGCCAGACTTAATGAGCTAAACATGCATATAGTGACAACAAATGAGGCAGAAAATAGAGGAAGTGGCACTGCAAGAGCACCATACAGTACTAAAGAGGTATGATTGGTCATTTTAAAGTCATGTACTCACCATTCTTATTATGTACAAATACCAGTCATCTAAGCTCAACCAAAAATCTACTGCCACGAAGTTAACAGCTAGTCCTTCTTTCAGGAGTCAGTAATTACCTTGCGTTTGAGCTCTCTGATGTTCTGAACGATGGGCTGTAGGGCCTGATGGGCGTCAGCTACCTCAGAGTTGGACTTGGTCATGTAGTGCTGTCGTAGATGTTCTGCCTGCCAGTGAAGAGCAATAAGAAACTGTCAGAGTCACGCATGGCAATGGAAAAATACTGTATGATACAGCCACGAGCGGGGTGCCGTAGCAAGCATCTTTAAATAGGTTCCGTTTGTGTTTTAGAGACCTGCCTTAGATGTAAAAAAACAATCCGCTTTTATTATACAGTGTGAGAAAACTTCACACACTAGCCCTTACTTGACCTCTATCTATTCTTCCATCAGTCACCCTCTCTATAAATACCAAGGAACCCACTTTTCAAAACTCACAAAAATCCCCCAAAACATTTGCAAGAATCATCTTTCAAAGAAAGTCCATGGGCATGTCCAAAAGATGCTTCCTTGCTCCCTTTTCTCAAACAGCAAAAGGTCAATGACTATCTGGAAGTCTCGGCTTCCTGTTCTTTAAATATCACCTGACAAATTGTCTTCCACAAGGTGACTGAGGATGACAGATCATCTCCTACAGTTTTCTGGGGAATGTAGCTCAGATCAGAGGTGCTATCTTGTCAGAACCTGACATTTTACGTCAATTAATAGTTTACAGTATTCTGAGCAGGGTGAAAAACATGTGCACTGACGGAATGGTACAGTATTAGCTTCAGGAGAAAATTATTGGATGCAACACCTATGTTTCAGAATTTCCACATTAATTGATGGTTTCAAATGTTAAAACTGAGGGAACTGAATTTCTGTCCTAGAGTTTAACTAAAGAAATCTGTATTTCTCAATAAAAGAAGGTGTGAATTATCATTTTTACTCCTGTAATTACTCACTCATCTTCCAACTAGTAAGAAGTAAACTTGGAAAAGATTGCAGGTTCCTTTCTGACCCTTTATGGGAATATTTGGCTCACTTTAAGACAACACCAAAAGGACTGCAAACCATACTGTTTAAAACAAATTTTATCAGTACTATTATGCATAGCAAACTGAGACACACTGATGTTTCCTTCCCTGGTGAGACAGAATCCTGCTGTGAAGTGATCCTTTCCTCCTCACCTCCTCTTTCAGGCGATCATCTCGAAGAGTTGGGGGGATACCAGGGTGCTTTGCATTCAGCAGTTCCATTAAGTTGTGTGTAGCATGCAATCTCTGTAATAAACAAAATAACCCTAATAACAACAATAATAATAATAATAATAATAATAATTATAATAATAATCTTAAGAGAATTATCTTCTAAATGTAGGCCACAAAAAACATTTGTAATCCAGACTCTTAACTAAAAGGAAAATTAGAAAATCTGCCAACCTGAAGAGAATCAGTTTTAAGTTTGTCTTTGTGCTCCTCTGAAGACCTTAAAACCTCTCTGTACAGCTCTGTAGCACACACAAATTCTCCTAAAAAGTACAAACACGTTATGAACAGATAAAGAGATTTTCAGGACATAGAAGTGATATGTGATATGATAGCAAATCAGAATGAGAGACTTAAGATAAATTAATTGCAAGTCCTAATAATAATAAAATAAGATGACAAATATGGAGGACATGATTTTGATTTAAAAATATAGAATTATTCTGAATTAAGGGTGGGGCAAAAGAAAGCTAATGAATATCACTTTAGGCAAAGTGGACACATAACCACAGCTGAATGCTGAACACCGAATAGAAAACAAAGCAGTACTAGAAATGATAAATAACACTCAAGAATTACTAATACTTTTTACAAAAATCAAAGATGAACCCACATGCTCACATGCTATATAATCAAATGCAGCTTCAGAAAAAAAGAATACGGAAACACTAAATGAAGAACCATGTTCTACCCATACCTCTTATGATATGAATTCCTGCCAGCCCATTTAAAGCACACACCAGCTGGCGATGGGCCTCCTCACACTCCACTCTGCACTTCTTCTGCAGGGACTTCAGCAGCTCCTCCATCGTCATAGTGCTGTTCAGTCCAGAGAGAAAAAGATGCAGTCAATCTATGTTCTTTGGTACAGGACAAATCTACCCTAAAATAATCAAGTGTGCAGTTGTTACAGCAATTTATAGGGTAACTTCAAGAAAGGAATAAAACAATTATAAAATGACAGCTTTTTAAACAAAAGGTTTATTGGTCTGCAATTTGTTTGCAATCAAAATACTTTTTATAATTTTTATAAACTAAAAAAATATATAGATTTACACGTGTGTAGAATGGTGTGTATAACTTAAACTCTGGTGACCTTTATTCATAATATAATTCGGATTGTGCAGTTTTGGTAGCATTGTCATTCTGTTGAGAGGGAAAAATCATACAAGTTGGAAACAGGAGTGCAGGACAGAATTAGCAGTGCTAATCAATGCCAAAATAAATTTACATCCATTTAATCAGTTAAACACTAAGAGCTGCCTGATGCAGTTGATTTGCTTTCAGAATGTCCTTTTTTAACCAATCCTACAACCAGCCAGGGGAAGCCCCTGGCTACCCCTACCTCTTCTGAAAGGGCAGGAACTCTCCCCGTACAGCCTGGGGGTGGCAGCAAGCCTGACGAAGCCTCAACAGGGGGTAAAGGATGGAGTTGACTGTCCTCCTGTCCAGACTGCTTAGCTTTAGGCTCCAGTCTGAAATCTTCTGTAGCTTCAGTAGAGCATCCTGAGAGCAAACCTCATGTTGGCGATGGTAGAAATGGCCTTCTACTGGGGAGAAGTGAAGCCAGTGGATCTCTTCTGTTTGAGGAGGAATCTGGATCTGAAAAAGAAAAATAGTACAAAACGTAAATGGAATAAATTATATATGTAGACATCTTTATTTTTACATTCAATTCTAAAGACGATGAACAACCATTTGTTTTTAAAAATATGTATATTTTAATGCAGGAGGGACTTGACCAAACAGACATTTTTTCAGATTTAAAAAAATACACAATTAATATTCTACAGTTAAAAACCTATATCAGAAAGAAGTGGAGAATGAGATACCTTATTAATCATTCTTCATAAGAACAGATAATAGAGTTCACCTAGCTCACAAGCAGTCAACTGATCTAAAGATCTCATCCAGCTGTCCCTTGAATGAAGTGTGAACATCAATAACATTCTTGATTTTAAAAGCATATCTATGTAGTTTCAACTTGTGCCCACTGGTCTGTAACTTCATTTTATTAATTTGCGATCTCTTTGCAGCGTTTTAACAATTTGAAAAGCTGTGTTCATGGAACAAAATACTGTTACTCTACATTTGAACTGTGCTTTCTTCAGGAGTTTAAAAGTCTCACTAAGCCAACTTTTCCTTTCTTGTGTGTGAGCTCCCCCTCTTTGTACTTTTTGGTCTTTGTGTTAATTACTGTTTGATTTGGAAAATTCACAATTTCTTAAAAAGAGCAAATCTTTATCACCCTAAATTACTTTATCACCTCGAATATAGTCTACCCCGTTATCTGTGTCATACCTGATCAATGACATCTTTCTTGGCAGATCTCCACATGAGCCTACCAATCAGGTTGTACAGTGGCTCAGAGTTTCCACGGCGATATGGGCGGTAAAGGAGAAGGTCCCACCAGTGCTTCACCCAGTATGGGTCAACTCCCAGGAACAGCACTAAGCCGTACAGATCTGAGCACACAGAGAAACCCAATCTGAACCCAATCAAATAGCTTTGCTGAACAATAAATGAGAAGTATAGCAGCAAAAGTTGGTTCGAAAGCAAATAATCTCATCAGACAAAGCACTTGTATGAATGTAAGCAAAACCCTGACATAAAGCATGTGAAATTAAAAAAATATTCATTTCTACCATGTTATAATAATTCTGAGACAGGAAACAGTAGGGTTAGTAAATGCCTCCTTCCCAAATTTCATGATTATCCCAAGTCCCATTATGAACTACAAAATAACTCATTCAAATTGGGATTGTGTCGACTGTGTCTCTGTAAAAATCATTGGGTATTCTTATAACTACAAACAAGCAAAACAAATAATCTAATCTATGTAGCTGCGAACTTTGCTGGGTATCAGTTTGAACTTCAAAGGTGCTGTGAAGTTCCAGGGCTCACCTTCTAGGCCTCTCTGTACAGGAGTACCACTAACGCACCAGCGGTTGATGGAACTCAGCCTCAGAGCCATTTCTGCTGCCTGCAAAAACACACAGCTAAAGACTTAAATTCATATCAAACATCAGTTTGTCTTCCATGCATATTTTATAATCAGTTCTTATGGAGCTGAGCTAAAAAAATATATTAGCTGAAAACCATGGCAAACTAATTAAGAGGAGTGGACAATCCGAGGCGAGTGGTAGTGAGAGGATGCGGGGATTGTGACCGGATATAGGAAAAACCTCCATGTAATTTAATTGGGATTGATCTCAACAGTAACAGCCTTTACATGAATATAAAGAGAAGGAATTTAGTCTTAAGTATTATATGTCTCTGTCCTATCGTCAATGCACTACCTACTGCTTGTCTGTTTAAAATATATTTTAATATGTTAAATCAATAATTATATTATATTGTACTGTTAATTACAGTAATGCTATAGTTTCTTCCTATACTCTGTTTTGCTGTTTTGTTTATGGATAATCACAGTGATCAATGATTTAACTGTGACTGCTTCTTTTTATAACTATTTTTTAATCTTTAGTCTGGTTATTCAATCTTTACCATGTTTCTCATCTGAATGAATTTAAAAAGTCAAGGTCAAAGACTATAAAGAAAGTAATTTAGTTCAGGATTTTGTTATATCCTCCAAGACCAGTTAAAAAGCAGTTCTGGGGAATGCCTCTGTAATTTTATCTCACGCTCATCAATAAAATGTTTTTTAATTTAAATTAAAGACAACACCAACACCAAAGACAACTTTTCATTCTTGCATTTTGTTATTTGAAACCACTCTATACTGTAACGTGGTTATAAGACAGTTCTTTTACACTGCTCAATAATTTTGCAACAGGCCCTGGAGTTTCAGGCTCATGCTTCAGGTGCAATGCGAAATAATGTGACTGTTTGGTTTTCAATGGCTTTTTCCAATGGTGCTTTGCAATGTTTACAAATTGCAATGATGCAATGTTATATCTCATTCTGTTGTTACAATATTTCTAAAAATCTTTTGCAATGTTGTCACCATTTTATTTGGTTAGCTTTGGTCAGCTGTGCTTGTTGTCAATTAGGATTAATGTCTGACGTCAGTAATAGAAGAACACATAAAGCTACTGCAGCACTGGAAGCCAATATTTGTCTATAGAAATGCCGTACCTGGACAGCCCCTGGCAGCCCCTACCTTGGCAGTGGTGCACTCCACCATCTGAGCTTCATCCAGGCAGACCCTCCACCACTCCACAGCCACCAGGGGGCTGGGAACAGCCATGTAGCGCTTCTGGTTACGGAAACGGCGGCCGTCTTCGCTGTTGCTGTGAGGAATGTCGACGTAATTGAGCTCAGTGCGCAGGACATCATAAGTGGTGATGACCACATCTTGCTCAGCCAGTACGTGAGGTTGAATGAAACCATGTTTCTTTACTCCTTGGTAAACCTGAAGCAAGGCAGAGACATTCACTGTACTTTTGCTCTTGTTTTCTTACTCCATTATTACACTACGTGACAAAATAAATCATTAGCACACACAACAAAAGAGAAACTACTAAGAAGTGGAGAGCATACTCTAAAAAGATAGAAATAGCTAGTTTTCAAGGTTATCAGAAAAAAAAGTCTCAGAACCACAGTGCACAGTGAATGACTTTGACAGTATTGGCATCTGTTTCTGTGGCAACTGTTTGCAACGGTAGTCTATGGAAGATTGGAGAAGCATAGTCACCCTCCTTTCATCAAAGCCCTTTTCCTCTGCCATCCAATTTTTGAAGAAATTCAAATGAGTTAAAAACACTTATGTTTCAAATACACATTGATTACTTAGCTTTTTATTGCTCAGCATGCAGCTAGGGAAGCAGGCACCTAAAATGCTTTTACTTAAGTGTGTCCCAGTAATCTTTGATGGTTTAGTGAACTCATCCAGAAAAATTAAAATTTCAGCAGCACTGGGTTGAAGCTTTTGATGATTCAATCTCAAGGGCGTGCTTATTAGACAGTGAAAAATGCTCTTTTAACATGCTGCAATTTCTACTTTTTTATTTCTCACACCACAACAGTTTTAATATGACACGTTTAAACCTGTCTCCCGGAATAAATGAGTAGAACCTGCACTGAGCTTGTTTGTAATGGCTCAATGCTCTGCATCATAGAATGTCATTAGTATGCAGGATGCCACAAGGACCAAAACCTAAAATAGAACACTGTGTTTCAAGCCCTTTATTGCCTTCTTCATCTGTCACACTAATGACATCTCAGCAATGCCTGCACACCTTTATTCTGAATCTGGGTGACATTTCAAGGTGGAGACCTTTGTTTTCAACCTGAACTTCATGTAAACAGAAAAATAATATTTATATCCATCTCAAATTGAAGTGGAACAACAGAAAAGTGTGCAAGTCCTTGAGATAATCTCCAACTCGGTGCCCTATTGTTCTCCCTTTTATATTCAAGTAGCTTTAAAGTATTTTATTTTTTATTATTACAAACCCTAGCTAAAGCAAACTGAAGAAAAAACAATCCATTCTTGTATAAAAATGCATGAGAATGATTTTCAAAACAAGATTCTAAAATAATGTGAGCTGGAAACAAAGTTCCAACCAACAGCCCACCAAATTAAAATATTCTAATGAAAACACAAATGTGGCAATTTAAGCTATGTCTTCAATAAAAATAAAAACCTGCAGAAAATAGAGAAGACCCTTTTCTTTGGTTCTTGGTGTATTCTTATTCTGAGAGGGGCCAAAATAAATAGAAAGAGAAAAATAAAGATAAAGATTCATTCATAAAGACCTTACCAGGACTCTCAGAGAAGATGACCTCACATGGCGGTTAATCTCATCAACCCACTGGTGGCAGATAGAGCTAGGTGAGATGATTAATGTTGCCCCTGTGGGCACTGGTGTCATAGCAACCAGGCAGTGAGGGCAGTAGAAAGGGGTTGTGCCCAGGTTCGCTTCCTTGTAGTTGACACACTCTGCATGCTGCCACAGAAAACAGTTCAGACATTGCACTCGGGCCTTGTAGTCAATCAGGCCCAGCTCCCCGCAGATGCACTCAAAGCGATAATTGGATGTGTTAAAGGGAAGAACTGTGGAGGATACAACAGGAAAAGGTGCTTTGGAGCCACATAGAGAATCTGATTGTACGCAGTCTGAGCTGCTTTCTTTCTTTACTGTGGAGTCACATTTTTCATGTGTCATGTTCTGCAGACAGCCATTCCGGGCCTCTTCATCATCTGTGACAGGGCTTTCATGTCTGTTGACAGACTGTATAAGCTGGGTTTTGCATTCAGGCACATCTTCTGAGGGGCTGGGTTCAACAGCCCCCTCTTTGTTTAGACCACAGTAGTTGTGCTCCTCCAGTGAGGCGCTTACAGGGGGGTTGATTTCCAAGGCATCCCCATGAAGAGGTGTCTCCATGTTTTCTGAGCTCACCTCACTTGAAGACTTCCGAGTTCTGCGAGGGCGACTGCCAGGGCTACTTAGGGAAAGGTCAGAATTCTGAAAAAGTTTTAAATAATATTATGACAGAATGAAATCATTAGAACCTCTAGAAAATAATATATTCTTTTGTCCTAGAGTTCTTACTTTTCTCAAAAGTAACACTCTATCGCCTGATGTAGGGAAACAGGTTAAGGCAGGCTATAAAATGTCACAGTATGTAAAACATTCAAAGCCCTTCTTTATAGAGCCCCAAGAAATAAAAAGAAGAAGAAATGCTAAAATTGAACACAACAGCAAATAAATGTTTTCTGCTGGGACAAAACTTGTGTTTTTACATAAATTAAGATATAAATTGAATGTTGTTTCCCTCTCAAAACCCAAAATAACTCACAGGCTTTGCAGCCCCTTTGCTCCGTTTGGCTTCTTTGTAGTTTTTCCCAAGCCTGAAGGACCCTGCTAGCCCTCTGCCTTTCACCTGCTCCACCACTTCCTCCCCAATCAGCTTGGTCAGGGTCTTCTTGATGAGACGGCGGTTTCTCTGCAGGTCATACTGATATGTAGCTCGGATATAAGTGAAAATAGCATTGACCGAGGCCCCTTTTCCAACCTTCATCTCCTTGATGGCAGTGAGAAGCATCTCCCGCAGAGCTACAGGCACAGAACACCACAAAATCAAATGGAGATGTAAAGAAAGATGTTTGCAAGATGATAGAGATGTTAAAATGTTTGCAAGATTTCTGGATGCTGCCTAACAGCAATTGAGAAAAGGTTACTCATTCTGCACAAAGGGGAATTCATAAAACAACCTATAAGAGAATTTCATTGTTTAATCGGTGATGCACTTTAAGTAGCTGCCATTATTTGGGGATTAATAGGGGATATTTGAAAAGTATGTCTTGGTCATAATACTTATGTGACAAACCATAGATTTGTATTTTAATACATTTTCGGTGCTTACTTGGATAGGAGACCTTTTCTTTGGGTTTAATATCACACTCTTTTTTCTTTCTGTCTATTGGAGGAGGAGGGACGAAATAATTTACAGATCTTCCCTAGAAAATACATAGACACAAAAACATTAGACAATATTAGACAATAAATATTAGACAATATATTATTATTATATTATTATTCGGATTACTATATAAATATTAGACAAACAGACAAATTAGAGTTGTTCGCGAAGTCAAAGTGTTTTTCTTATCTTTTATGTAAGCAACTCAATTAAAAATTGAAGTAAAATACACACTCCACGACGTCCTCCATAACCACGTATTTGTTTGTATAACATAACATCATCACTTTATTAGCCCTATACAATTTCTTGCATTAGGAATTTGTCTTTTCGCATACCCCAGCATTGCTCTCCATGAGACACAGACAGGGAGAGAAGCTTGGGGTAAGAGCACAGAGTCAGCCATTGTACAGTGCCCCTGGAGCAGCTGGGGTTAAGGGCCTTGCTCAGGGGCCCAATGGAGTAGGATTCCTCTGCAAGCCATGGGATTTGAACCAGCAACCTTCCAGCCACCGGCGCAGATCCTTAGCCACAGAGCCAGCGCTCCGTCCTATATATAAGGCTAATGAAAATAAGCAATAAACAAAAGTTCTCATCTGTTTACCAGTTAGTATCCTGATCATTCCATTTCTTTAAACCATGCTAGCATAATAACTGATTCAGACTGGCAGTAACATTTTTACACTTGCATTTGTGCTACTCCATTAAATTAATATTTTCCCCATTTCCATTAATTACATTTATAAGTAATTTATAAAGTACAGTACTTTATTTGTTTTAACAAACAGTGCCCTATTAGATCTGTTCCACTGTAAAACCAGAATTTTAACTAAATTTCAGAGCAGCAAGCTTGCTCCCATTCATATATCAATTGTGCAGGATTGTATCTGTGATTAGAGTCCTTATTAGAGTAGCCTTATTAAACTTAAGCTGTATAACCTTCACAGGAATGCAAAACTTCTTATCTGCAGCTGTAACCTGACCGTGCTCTCTGGGCTGTCTCCAGCCTCTACAGCCCATAAACTGAGAGTACCTCGGGCAGTAGAAGACCGTGCTGGCTCAAGCCCTCGCGCGTGTGGCACAGAATGAGAGCCAGGACCTCCACTGTCTTCCCCAGGCCCATCTCATCAGCCAGGATTCCACCAGGCCAGTCATCACCAGCAATCGGGAACTCGCGGATCAGGCTGCAACAAAGAAGCGCTCAGCAAAGCCCAGCATCAGACTAAGGACAAGAAGAATACAACCATACTAGGAGCCCAGCATCCAAGCCGAAAGTGACTGAAGGACTTCTCTCATTCAAGTTTCATCATTGCAAAGGCATCTAGACTGTTCCCAAAGAAAGATTTCATCCTCACCAGCCAAGACAAGGGCCATTTTTACATCAGATAATTTTTTACATATGTACAAATTATTTACATACTGTATATTTATACATAAAGATACATTTTTAGAACAACTTAATACTCCTGGCCATACTTTGAGTGGGGGCATTGTCTGAATCCAAAACAGTGACATCTAGGCTTCAGGGAACATCCTGTACTCCGGGTTGAGCCTAGGACAACTATAAACCTCGTGAAACTCTTTGAGCCACAATTGTACTATACATGTAAATGTTTTTAATTGCAACAGAAATAAAATACGGTGTTTAACTAATCTTAGTTTTTATATCCTCAAACCACACATAGATTACATATGACATCTCATATTACTTCCCTAAGACCAAGAAACTGAACACTGTGTCTTACCAGCCTGTGTAGGGGTTATAGTACAGTGTCTTCCCACAAATCGTCACTACATCTCGCCATAAGAAATGTATAGACTTTTCTGAAATTAAAACATTGTTTTATTATTTACAATGAAAATAAATTAATGTTTTCATTTAAATAAAATGATTTTTTGGTTTAGCACACTAGCAGCTGCTTAATAGTTATGCCTGACTAGGCACAATTCTTTCAATTTTTTTCACCAGAGCAGAAAAACTCATTAATTCATAATAACAACCCTTAATACTAAAACAGTGGATCCTGAAACTGGGGTCCCGATTTCTATTAATACTTTAGAGAATCTGCTTTAATTTAACATGTTAAAGGAATTATTCCAGATCAGTTCTCTGCACAGGAAACATTCACCAGTGACCCTAAATGATTTCATGGTTCACACCATCACACTACATGATGCATCTACATGACAACATAGCTGTATCTCTCCTTTCAGTCAGAGATAATTTTGATAATTATCCAATCCTATGGCTGGAGGCGTTGATGAGGTCAGATCCAATGTTTTGAATGAAATTCATTTTGGATTTAGTCACGTTCTTGAGTGCATAATATGTGAAAATGCAACGACCCATTATTATTATATAATATATAACATATAAGTTAAGTTATTATTCCTCTTCTTCACTAATGTGCTCTGTATTTAATATACTGTACAGCAAAATGTAAGCATAGAGTATGTTGTTTTCTATCACTGGCAATAAAATGACAGAATATGAAGAAGATTGAATATGGAGGTCTAATTCAAGGAATAACTAGATTTTCAGTTTATCCAGCTCAGACTCGCCAATATTTTCATTTAACAACACAAAACAAATTAATTGTACATTGTAGAAAACAGGAATATTTACAGGTAGCAAGCACATACCTTGTAACACATCAAGTTTATATTTCTCTCTTTTCAGCATCCAGTTGACAGCTTGGCACTGGTAAGGTCTTAGTACAGGGATCAGTGCTGGATGCTGAATGTCATCTCTCATAACATGGCCTTCATTCAGGTCGAAGTGTCTGACATGATCATAAAGTTCTTCAATATTCTGGCGCTCAAGATCAGTGTCAGGATCCTCTTCTTCATTCCCACCCCACTCTATAAACAGAACAGGCATTATCTTTAAATAATCTTTTTAACCCCTACTTATGATGAGAGAACATTAAAACATCTTCATTATGTCACTTATGCAAGCACAAGAAGAATAAGGACAGACTTTTAGAAACCTTCAATGTCAGAGCGATTTGCGATGAGCACTGACTGGAACAATGCAGTGTGTCCCACTGATAATATTGCAGTATGCAGATACCTGGCAGTTCACAGAGGTTGCTAAGGATACCCTGGCTCACTGAAACCCATCCAAGTTGGCTACTATTTAGGGAATGTTGGCTTAAGTCAGTGAATGAAATTTGCACTTTTTGGACAAAAAGAGGTCAAGCGTCTTTTTCGTGTACGGACTAAAGCCATTAGAACTTGACAAAAATATTTTCTGACTGCTTATGGCAGCCTCAATCCATTTAAAGGAGTTGCCTCACCTTTAACCTAAATCTTAGTGGTGATTAAAAAAAAAACCAACAATAAATATTTTTCTATACAAATGTACAGCTTTTCATGTACCTTTTTATGGGTCATAATTTACCTGGAATTATGAAGTCATAGAAGAGCTCCATCAGCTTCTGGATCAGCTGGTTTGCTTTTCTTATTCGGCCATTTCCTTCACTCAGGAACTCTGGCTTTCCTAGTCCAGCTTCCAAGATGAATACGCCCAACTTTCCACCAATAAACAATAAACAAAACCCATTTTACAGAACAGACAAGATGGTTTACATCACACAAGACATCTTTTAGAGATCTAACATTAAACTTGAGTTCTGCATTCCATTCAAGACATCTTGGAGAATAATTATTTTTTGTCTAATTTTAGTAGAACATGTTAAGTCTCTTCATTTGAAAAAAGAAAATGGAAAATGAGAAATGAATGCCTCCGTTTTCATTTTTACTTCCCTGAAATGAAAAACTTGAATCTTTTTAACATTTATATACCATTATAGTTGTCCATACTCCCATTTAATTATAGTCCAATGCTGCTCCTAGTGCACCAATATACAATAGATAGTTTTGTAAGCAGCCTTAAAATCATCATTTTAAAATATCTGGAATAACTTAATTGATCTGTTAAACAACTGTTAAATTATGTAACTCAGGAGACCCTTGTGCACTTGAAGACCAGAGCACCCTTCATTAAACAAATTACTTGCTTAATTGATCAATAACTACCAAGTCTGCCTAATCTTTAAATACCAGGTAATTAGTGTGACCTGTAAGATTAACTGGGCAGGTACTCACCAGGACCAGTCATTGGAGACCTGTAAATGTGTTGTTACTTTTGCAGTTATAAAATATAATTAAAATGTTACAGCACAACTTGAATAAAAAAAATGCTACAAAGCACTAACTTAAATATTTTTTAAAAAGTGTATTAAAAAAAATATTTAACCGATTGTTTCCAGTTAATATTACTACTGCTATTATTATTATTGTTTTTGTTGGTAGTGCATACCTTCACACAATCAAAGACGTCTGTCTGCATTTGGCAGAGCTGAATAACTCTTCTCTTCTGCAGCCACGCCAAGTCTTCCAGCAGAGCCCCACTTAGAGAGCACTCGACTGGGCATGCCTGCTCACTGCTGCAGCCAGGCTCCTCTGGGCCCTCACTTTCACCCTCCTTCAGGAGAGACACACCCAGCTGGCCATTGCTCCTCTGAAGAGTGAAAGTCCTGCTCTGAATATTGAAGGAAAACTGCTTTGAGTGAAGGCTAAACTCTCCAATCAGAGCCTTCCAGAATGGGTCCAAATCAGAAGAAGGCAGGACTTTTAGTGTTAAAGGAGTGGGAATATCTGATGAAGAGCATGTGGGCTCTTCTCCTGGTGCACATAGCCTGTCTGAGCCAGGGAATCTCTGGCCCACAGCACTGCAGCCTTCCTCTAAATACTCTTCACCAACAGCGGTAGGAGGAGTAATCGAGCAACCTGTGTGTGGAATACCGACATCCTCTATAATCACATCTTCCTTCCTTAGGTCCTCATGCATGCTCCAGCTGAGCTTCTTCTTGGCCTCCTCGTCTACCCTCACAGGAGGTGCTCTCTTCCTTCTGCTACTCATGGCTTCCCAAGTTCAACATTAACACCCTACATGAAATGTGAAAGAAAAAGGGAAACAGCTACTTCTTAATGAGTTTATCATTTCCTGTTTGTTCTAAAAAGCTCATTCTCGAAATTGCACCTGTGTAAACACTTAAGCATCTTCTGTAGTAAATGTATGATATGCAGAGTTGCATGCTCAGAAAGAGAAAATGAACTGAATTTACAGCGTGGCAGATTTTTACCTGAGTTGTTTTTTTAGTTTACTTTTAAAAAAAAAAATATCCTGAGAATATTTATATAAATACATGAACTATATACTATATAAGTGTAATAAAGATCTTGGTCGAGATACATCAACATTGGCAAAGCGACCTAAAATAAAATATTTTCAATATTTTCCACATTTGATTTTTCACTACATTACCATGAGACTATGGTTGCATGGAGCACGTACAGTATGTGCCAAAACATTAATCATTTAGGACTGTGACCACAGTCAAGCAAGACACTATAACAAGGCAACGCAGTGAAATACAAAGAGCTGTTTAAGCTCTTTTATATGAACTGAGGCTTTAGGGGCGGCTTATACTGTAGTGGTAAACCTGGAAATAAAAATAATCAAACGTGGTCTTAAACTACAAACGAAACGTTACCGATTACAAAAGGATGTCGCACAAGCGAAATTAACATTATAAGTTATGAACGGACAAGAATATCCTTTGTTTAATATACATGATCATAGTTAAGTACTATTTTGATCGGTTAGTCCCAGTCATGTGTCTGCTAAGTTTTTTTTTTATTTTTATCCATGATAGACTGATAAGAGATACAATCGCGGTATTTACATAAGTTTTATTTATACTTTCACAATAAAATAAATCATAGCAACCTACAGACCATTCTGGCTATGTAAGTTTAATTTACAACAGCAACAACAATACTAATAGTAACAGTGGAGATTATCATCATAAAGCAAACGTAGCAAACTGTTACAAAACAAGGCAGCACATTTTTAATTCTTGACGGTTTTCGTTAAAATCCTTTAACTGAGAAACGCTAAAGCGCTAAAACAAAATTGTAATAATATTGAATGTACTTGCAGAAATATTGACCAGAGACCCTTTTCGCCTTAGAAGTATTATCTCCTATAACAACCACAACACTACACTTTTCGCCGCCATCTTTAAAGCACAGGAAGTAAAACCTTCTCCGAAAGTAAGAGTTGGATTATGAAATTTGCACCAGAGGGCAGTCTAACGCCTGTAACGAGAGGTCGGATTTGAAATGTGTTCCTCTCACTAAATTTGCTCTTCGTTGCTTTACAATCACAAATAACGTGCAACTTATTTAAAATGGAAATTACATATTTAATTTTCAACATAAGAAAAATATATTTTTCATAATCAAGGTGACAGCAGTTGTAAATTCTTAAGACGCATGTTTAATAATTTTGGAAAAAAAGATCCATTTAAATAATATCACACTAATCCCAAAAAATGACAAACGAAGAAAAAAAAAGAAATACGTCATCCATTATAGTAAAACAATGTTTTATTATGGATATTTTAAAATTAAATGAAAACCCTCAAATCACTACAGTGGTGTCTTTGTGGCTTGAATGTATATCTTCAGTATTGGAAGGAGCACTTGATTAAATATAAGGATGCAAAAAAATCTGCTAGATCCAGCTCCCTTTCCCACATCATTGAGAACAACCATAACAATCCTAGATACCTGTTCTTCACCATTAATAAACTGCTAAATACAAACTGCTCCACCCCATTACCTGTGTCATCCCAACTTTGCAACACTTTCTTAGAGTTTTTTACTCTTCACATTTTTACATTTATGTTTTTTACATTTTAATAAATGCCAGGAGTCCATGAGCACTGGAGTAGTACCAACAGCCTTAAAAACACCTGCAGTTACCTCTGTGCCTAAAAAAACAAATATGGACATTCTAAGCAATTGTCACCCTAAATCCAACCTACCTTATATTGCAAACATTTTAGAATGTGCTGTAACAATTTAACAACCATCTAATTGCAAACAATCTCTTCAAACCCCTCCAGTCTGGTTTCAGACCATTAAGCAGCACAAAAACTGTCCTTGTTAATGTTACTAACAATCTTCTTAATGCTGCTGATTTCTCTTTCAATCCTTACTCTCCTTTACCTCAATGCTGCTTTTGACACCATCATGTCGTCTTATTTAGTTCAGAGTTTCTGACTTTGCTCTTAAATGGTTCAATTCTTACCTTACTGATCGTTAACACTTTGTCTCCCTTGGGGGTTTCAGTTCTGAAGTTGGGCTTGTTAAGTCTGGTGTTCCTCAGGATTCATTACTGTGCCCCCTACTATTCAACACTGACATGTTCGCACTTGGTCAGTTATTAAAATAACATGGTCTCAAAAATAAATCTCAAATCTACATTACTACTAAATCTAAAGTAACCTATTGTGCGCACTGTAATTACATTTCTGGCATAAAATTGTGGATGACTCAATTTTCTTCATTTAATAAGTGTTCTTCTTACACTTACTGTACTGTATATAGTGTTTTTCTGGACACTCCAATCACACAGGATATGGAATACTCTCCTCCTCCACAACCATTGTGCAGCACCTACAGTACCTGGATGCCATAGTGTGCCAGAATGCTCACAGGGTGATTCATAGATGGGGATTATTAAGAGGCCATGATTGATAAAGGCCAAATGGGAAAATTGACCAGGAGGCCAGGGTAACTCTTTTCAAGAAACTCCCTGGGATTTTTAATGACCACAGAGAGTCAGGACCTCGGTTTTACGTCTCATCCGAAGGACAGTGCCTTTTTACAGTATAGTGTCCCCATCACTATATTGGGTTATTAGGACCCACATACTATAGACCACAGGGTGAACACCCCCTGCTGGCCCTACTAACACCTCTTCCAGCAGCAACATTGTTTTTTCCTAGGTCTCCCATACAGGTACAGACCAGGTCCACACCTGCTTAACTTCAGTGGGTTATCAGATATGAGTTGCAGGGTGACATGTGTGCTGGCAGTATTTGAACTGCAATAAGACTGAAGTCATGCTTCTTGGCCCCTAACATCAATTATCTAAAGTCAGTGCAGCAACCCTATCTGTGGATGGCACTGTATTTGAATTTTAATCTGAACTGAAGAATTTGGGGTGAAATTTGATCCAGGCTTGATGTCTGACTCACCTGTGCAAAATATAGTGAAAACTATGTCTTATGTTGTCTCAGATTGTAACAGAGACTAAACAAACCTCAGTGTCAAGAATTCCGCAGCCAGAATCCTAACCGAGTCACGTGCAGGTAATCACATTACTCCTGTTCTGGAATCTTTGCTCTGTCTTCCTATCAGGTTTCATTCCGACTTCAAAATCCTCATTCTCACCTACAGTATAACGTTCTGTATGGCTTGGCACCTTAGTACCTGTCTGACTTATTATTTTCCTACTCCCCACCTCGCAACCTGTGTTAGTCTGATTCTGGTCTCCTCGTTGTTTGTCCTCCAAACTTGCCTACACTCTGTGGGTGACAAGACCTTCTCTTGTTACACCACACAGTTCTGGAATTCTATTCACAAGGATATCAGAGAGTCACCTTCCCTGGGCACATTCAAATCCAGACTCAATTTTGTTTATTTTTTGAAACACTTAAATTATTTATTATCTGTGGTTCCCCCTGCATCCTCTACTGCATTCTAAACTCTCTTGTTTAATTGTGCAAATTACTTTATATTATTTCCTGTCTTTGTTATTGTGTCTTTTGTTTTAACTGTCTTTTTTTACTATTGTAGAGTGCTTTGAGAAGAAACTTTTTAAAGGGTTTTAAAAAAAGTTTTTGATCATTATTATTGCCATTTCTTTTCTCTTTATCACCCAACTGCTTGAAATTTTGTTCATTATACACTGCTTTTATTGTACGTTTTTCTACGATGTTTTCAAACCTGTAAGAAGCTCCTTAAACATCCAGAACATATTGTGATGTGTAGTATAAAATGCAAGTAGTACTTGTAAGCACTTGTTGTGGAAGTGAGGAACAAGCTACACAGCCTTATTGTGATGGATTGTGATGGTGTATTTAAAAAAAGGTCTGGATGACATTTTTGGCCTCCTTTCATTTGCCTGAGTTCTGTGGAGGAATGACAAAAATCACCAGAGACATACTGTATATAGTACTGCAAAGAACACTTAACTTCTAAAAAATACATAAAAGAAATATGTCCTATAACAGCTTTTGGATAAGAACACTATACAGCAAGCAATAGTGGAATAGCAGTAATATATGGCAATCAATACATACCTGCATTCCGTGGATTCATTTTACTCAGGAAGCCAATCCATCCCCATTGATTCACCCAAGCTCATCAGCTAAGGGGTTGCAGCCAGTATGCAACACACAGTCAGAGCTGGTCTGGAACCTAGACTGTCTTTCACACTTGATTAAGTCATTTTCAGGGAGGGACTTTATGCCCTTCCTATGTCATTTACTCTTGATTCCTAGGGGCACAGGACATAAGAAAAGTTAAAGAAAATTGGTGACAATTCAGTAAATCTAGTTCATTTAGTTGTAAGTAGCTAAATGATATAAGGATCTTGCCTGACTGTTTCTTGAAATAAGCCAGGGAGTCATCTTCAACAACATGACTGGCTAGTTTAATCAGAATTCCCACTACTATATGTGCTTCCTATTCTCAGTTCTACATCTACGCCCTTATACAGTTGTGTAGTGTAGCACCCCTGCACTCTCACCCCTAACTGACTCTAACTGTGCCTGTTTCCTCCTGTATTATCTAATATAAGGGGTCCCCCCATGTACTCTTTCACCACATGTGCTGCTGTGGCAGACTGCAGTCAGCCTCTCTCTTCAACCCCTTTATCACTCTCCATAGTGACTAACATGCCCTCTGTAAAAATAACAGCCAATAAACCCTGTTTTATTGTAACTGAACTCCAGCCTACCTCAGCTGCTAAATATGAGTGTAGAACCATTTGCTGCAGTAGTTTCCACCTGGGACATTGTCTTTCACTGAAGAAGACAATGAAGACCACAGAGTTAGTGCCTATGAGAATTTTGAATATTTGCCCAAAGTACCACTGAAACATTTTTAATTAACCTAGTAAAAAGAAAACCAAAACTTTTTGATAAATATTTTCCTAATATATACACTAATTTTTAATATTCTTACATTAGAAAGCCCCAAGTTATGGTTGGGAATAGCATCCTTCTTAAATTATCCAATAAGATTTTTTTACATTATTCATATTTAAGAAAGAAAAACATAATCTCAACTGTACACTGTTAATCTTTGATAGAAACATTAACATTTTCTTCATACCTGTCTATGTATAGATACAGTAAGTTCTATATTAATAAGCAATAAGTTAGGGTTAGAGTAAGCTTTCTTTTAAAATTAGACCCCCAATAAGATTTTTTTTACATTATTCCCATTCTTTTAACGAAAGTTTTAATACACACTTATTGCTACATTCACTTTTTTCTAGACTGTATATTGCGCATTAAGTTAATATATATGCACATTAATGACAATTTGTCCAAACGACTTCAAAAGTATGACTTTCCTCTTAAAATAGAACTCAACAAAGCTGACAAAGTCTAAATAAGTAGTACAGGTAGGTAGCTGCATCAGCATGCGTAGGCTGCAAAGGAACAAGTAAAGGTTTATTCCATGCCGAAAAGAGAAGAAAGGAAACACAATGTTTTGGCTGTGGAGCGTTCTTCGAGTGTGTAAAAAGTCTAAATAATCACAGTAAAAATAGAACCAAAATTTTACAAACTATAATATACAGCACAGTAAAATCAATGGGTTTTCCAAATGGATAAGAAAAGATTATTTTTTTTAATTTAAAAACATGCAGTTATACTCAGAGGACAATTATCTTTCTTTCTATGACATTGTATTTAAAAAGGTTACATCAATGCATTTAACATTAATATTTTTGAACTTCTATACAAAAAATGATAGAAAGATTTCCCTCAGTTAGGGTTAGCTAAAAAAAGACCTCACGTAAGATTTTTCTTCACATTATTCCTAAGTTTTTAAATAGGTTTAAATGTTTAATTAGTGCTGAATTCAATTTTTTTCTAGCCCATACTGTATACTGTATTCCTTATACCTTTAATGTGCCCATCAGAAAGAATTC